GACGATTAACCGATAACTGGAACAGTGGTAAATACAGGGGTAATACACCGCCGGACTTACAGTCGCCCGTTTGGCCTATTCCACCTAATAACGCTCTGCTAAAGGTACCCTCACTAAGCGTCTAGGCAGTCAACCTACGATCTGCGACCGTATTACCGCTAGACTAGCTAACGAGCTCGGCTTAAGTACCGTTAAACTGCGGAAAATGACTTCAAACAGCTCGGCTTTTATTAATTTTTAATGCACTAAAATCGAAAGTGTAATATTTGTTTTATACAGAATGCCCTGCAATAATTATTTTAATGAGATGTGTAGATGGAATTTTCAGTTTATCAATCACAACAGGCTTCATATGCATATTAAATGAAAAAAAATATATCAATTCTCAAAATTCAATAATTTATTTAAAACTGAATTGTTTTAAACACTTAAATAAGGAAATAAGTAATGTATTATTAATTTGTCAAAATAAATAATTAATTCAGTGTTTTAACCAGTATAATTCTGCGTTATTAACTATGCAACTTTTTTTTCTTGTTTTCGCTGAATTAAACCATAATTCAGGTGGAAGATAAGAAAATGTGTGTTAAATTCCTACAAAAGCAACATAAGTATTAATTGTTTAAACAAACTTTTAACTACAAAATGATTTGTTCTCGTTCGTTCAGCTAGTAGATAGAGCGAGTATTCGGAAAACAAAGGACAGAAAATGCGCTCGCAAAAGAACTAACACAGGCGAAATTTTATCAAATTTAAATAATAAAAATAAACTATCTAGAATTATAGCAAATTACGAATAAAGTATTAACTTTCAAATTACGAATGAATTTTCAAATTCGATTTCGTAATTATTGAGATTAATTTCCACGTAGTGTTAATTACAAGTAAACAAACTCCGACTTTTAGTTTACTCAATATTTTTAACAAAAAACCATACTTCATATTATACAGGTAAATAATCTAATTTTCAATACTCGAAATTTTTCAAAAAAAAGTTGATATAAGTACCTTGCAAGAAAAACAGCGGAAGTCCTATCACTATCACTAAAATTTTAGATGGGAAAAACTCACGGGATATCATGTTTCCCCACAAATTTTCCAGGGTATAGCTCCACATTAAACAAAATACCGTATTAAATTTGTTCGTGGCTATCACTTTTTCACTTAATAAAATCAATATTGCCCTTACATTAATAACATTTTTTTAATGGTTAATAAACTGTTTATAGTGTCACAATGGGAAAATCAAAAACTCATTCACTGATTTCGCAATTAAATAAACTGCAACCCGAACCGGAATAAACAATAGACTAACGGAAACACATTAACGCAAATACAAAGACAAGCGACATCAATTAACTAATGTGGAATTTTCCAGTTTGCTACGTAAATCGCGGTGGCTAGACAAAACGACTGCTGGCGCTATCGACGAGCGTAAGTACGGAGAGCTTTTGAACTATGATTTTGAAATGAAAATGTCCAACTCGATTTAAAATTAGTACATATCATTGAATAGGTTTAATTTTTACAAAGATAAAGCATTAATTTTCAAAATTTTTAAGAACTATTTATATTACGAGTCAAAATGTCTTGTTCTCTCGGTCGACCGTTCAAGCACACGACTGTTAGAGAGAGCAAGTATTCGGATAATAGAAGACAGAAAGTTACGCTCGAACAAAAGCCAAAAAATATATATTTTTAACAACAAAAAAGCTTTAAAAAATTAAAAAACATTAAAACTAAGCTACAACCACCTCGATAATGGTAGATTTTCAAACAATCAATGAGCTTGTAACTTAATTAGTTTCCGAAATTAGTCCCCACATATTATTAGATAAGCAAACTAAAACATTCCCTTTGCAGTACAAGTTTAAAATGGTTCAATTTACACAAAAATAACGCATTAATTTACAAAATAAATTTTTAAGGACTATTTATACTAAAACGAGTCAAAATGTCTTGTTCTCTCGATCAACAGTTCAAGCACAAGACTGTTAAAGAGAGCAAGTATTCGGATAATAAAAGACAAAAAGTTACGCTCGAACAAAAACCAAAAAACACATTCTTAACAACCTAAAAGTTTTAAAAAATAAACAACATTAAAACTAAGCTACAACCACCTCGATAATGGTATAGTTTTCAAACAATGAGTGAGTTTATAACTTTGGTTCATTAGTTTTCGATATAAGCCCCCATATATTATTACATAGGCAAACTATGACATTCCCTTTGCAGTACAAGTTTAAAATGGTTCAATTTACACAAAAATAACGCATTAATTTTCAAAATAAATTTTTAAGGACTGTTTATATTAAAACGAGAGTCAAAATATCTTGTTTTCTCGATCGACCGTTCAAGCACACGACTGTTAAAGAGAGCAAGTATTCGGAGAATAAGAGACAGATAATTACGCTCGAAATAAATGAGCCTTTTCTATTTAAAAAATATTGAAAGTAGACCACAACCACCTAGATAGCTTCAAAACAATGAAAAATCTTTCAACTTTGATTGGTTAATTTCGGAAATCAGCCCCCGCATACTATTAAATAGAGAAACTAACACATTCTCTTTGTAATATAAGGCTAATTAAGTTTATTTCATATAATAGTACGCATTAAATTTAAAAACAAATTCTTATTTGCTATTTATATTAAAACGAGAAAAATGTCCTGTTGGTCGACTACTCAAGCAAACGACTGTTAAAGGGAGCAAGTATTCGGAGAAAGATAAATTTTTACACTTGAAAAGACCCTATGACTANTAAAGAGAGCAAGTATTCGGATAACAGAAGACAGAAAATTACGCTCGAACAAAAGCCAAAAAATATATATTTTTAACAACAAAAAAGATTTAAAAAATTAAAAAACATTAAAACTAAGCTACAACCACCTCGATAATGGTATACTTTTCAAACAATGAATGAGCTTATGTAACTTTGGTTCATTAGTTTCCGAAATTAGCCCCCATATATTATTAGATAAGCAAACTAAAACATTCCCTTTGCAGTACAAGTTTAATATGGTTCAATTTACACAAAACTAACGCATTAATTTTCAAAATAAATTTTTAAGGACTGTTTATATTAAAACGAGAGTCAAAATATCTTGTTTTCTCGATCGACCGTTCAAGCACACGACTGTTAAAGAGAGCAAGTATTCGGATAACAGAAGACAGAAAATTACGCTCGAACAAAAGCCAAAAAATATATATTTTTAACAACAAAAAAGATTTAAAAAATTAAAAAACATTAAAACTAAGCTACAACCACCTCGAAATGGTATACTTTTCAAACAATGAATGAGCTTATGTAACTTTGGTTCATTAGTTTCCGAAATTAGCCCCCATATATTATTAGATAAGCAAACTAAACCCTTTGCAGTACAAGTTTAATATGGTTCAATTTACACAAAGCTAACGCATTAATTTTCAAAATAAATTTTTAAGGACTATTTATACTAAAACGAGTCAAAATGTCTTGTTCTCTCGATCGACCGTTCAAGCACACGGCTGTTAAAGAGTATTTTTAACAACAAAAAAGCTTTTAAAAATTAAAAAACGTTAAAACTAAGCTACAACCATCTCGATAATAGTAAAGTTTTCAAACAATGAACGAGCTTTTAACTTTGGTTCGTTAGTTTCCGAAATTAGCCCACACTTTTCACTTTGATACGTTAATTATCGAAACTAACCCCCACATATACATTATAAAATAATAAGTTATAAAAAGTCTAACTTACACAAAAATAACACAAATTAGTTTTTTTATTGCTGTNGGGGTAATACACCGCCGGACTTACAGTCGCCCGTTTGGCCTATTCCACCTAATAACGCTTTGCTATAGGTACCCTCACTCAGCGTCTAGGCAGTCAACCTACGATCTGCGACCGTATTACCGCTTGAGTGACTAATGGGCCTGTCTTATATACCGTTCAAATGCGAAAAATAGCAGTAAACAGTTACGCCTGTATTATTTTTTTTAAATCCGAAAATTGAAAATATAAACACTTTCCTGCATAGAATGCACTACAATTATCATTTTGATGAAATTTGTAGAAGGAATTATCAATTAAGCTATTAGAATTACAGTTAGTTGTGCACACATTAAACGAAAATAAAAATACATACAAATTCTTGCAATCAACGAATTTGTTCAACGGTCCCTTTCTTTAAATAATTTAGAAGTTACTTGCTATAAAATAAACAGATTCATTTGTAAAGAAAAATGATTTGCACATAAATTAAGAAGCTTTTTGTCGATTAACAATAAAAATTAAAACTAAAAAGCTCACCGCATAAAATCCTTAAAAAAAAAAATACAACAAAATAGTGGTACACTTTTAAGTATTCTTTAAATTATGCAAGCCGATATTTTTGACTTTGGTGCATAATCGTTTAATTTTCATATAACCTCCGCGCGACATAAACAAAAGTCTACTGAAGAACAATTAATCACCGTGGTGCTGATCATAAAAGCCTGCTGGCGCAATCGACAAACATATTACGGAGAGTTTCAGAACTATAACTCCAAGTTGCCATGTATTTTAAAATAATATTGCAAAACATAACTACTTATTATTATAAAATTCGCAGCAATTTCATTGAGAAGTCACTTAGCATTTCTGCTCTTTTGCTTTTAAACAGTATAAACATCATAGCTATAACAGAAACGGCGCAATGTATGAAGGGGTTGTTTGTCTTTAGGAAAATTGTTACTTTTTTAAAACAAACATAAGACTGATAAAGAAAGCGAGTATTCAAACAATAAAGGATAGAAAAACCGCTCGATAAAAATCTACTGTTCCTAATTTTTGTAATTTATTAATGACTAAACGCATGCCACAATATCAGAAATACTAGAAATCCAAATAGAATAATTTTAAATTCGGTTAAGTAACTTATATCACTAGATAAATATTAAATTAGAATATATCAATACTTCATAAATATTACTACTGAATAAAAAATTATTGTCGTATAATATATTAATAAATCTAACATATACATATGTATGCTCAATATACATGTATGAAAAAGATTAATACTTTTTCAAATACTGCAGCTATTAATTTAAAATTACAAGTAAATATTTTAACTTTTTCAATTAAGTTAGAATTAAACAATAGGGGAATGTAAGCTGATAAGTGTAAAATATTTAAATAGAATCGTAGTCCAACGGTTCATTTTTAACTTTAGCCTGAACTAGTTTCCAGAATTTTTCTGGCTCATTATAGGTTGCTTTAACCGCAGGGTCATCTAACATAGCAGATTTCCAAGCACGTAGCTTTGGAAACTTGTCCTTTTCTAAAGAACATTCATTTCCATGAGCAATTTTTACAGCTGCTGATCTTTCGGCCCATGGCCACAACATATAATCTAGCATTCCAGGTCTGCTTCCAAAGAAAAATAATGTCCCACGCTTGTCTAATTCCTGCTCAAAAATATCAAGCAAGGAGGCCAATTCCTTTAGTAATGCTGCAGGGTTTCCTGATGTATCAACCATAAGCTTGTGAAACTGAGCTGTAATAGGTTCTATTTGTTTAATTAATTGCTTCTCTTTCTCTTGCGCTGCTGGCTCAGCTGGATATAATGGTATATTGGGATATTCATTATCTAGAAAGTCAGCAATAACAAGACTTTCAACAATAACTTTAGATCCTGTATCCAAAGCAGGAACTTTTCCTTCTGGATGAATTTTAAAGTACCATTCAGGTTTATTCATAAGATTTATATTTACAATATCATGACTAATATTTTTTGCCAGCAATACCAATCTTGCTCGCTGAGCATATGGACAAAATTTCATGGAATAAAGTCTAAGCTTTCCCTCTATTGTAGGAACTGGTTTTGATCCTAATCAGATTGAAAATCATTTAATATATTAACAAATTAGTAAAAAAACATTACCTGCTGCTAAATGTTTTAAACTCATTCTTGTTAATATCTTCTTTGAAACCTTATTGTTTGAAACGTTGGAACACTAATCACTATTAATTTTCACAGTAACACAATGTATTTATGTTTAAAAAATTACACTTAATATATATACCTAAATATCTCAATTTTCTTTACAACGCATTCAATCAGTAAAAGTGCTTAATCATGACAACTTTCACTTTTTATTTTTATCACGTACTTAAATGGTTTTTCAATTATTTGATATGACGAATTTGCTTGTCGTAAACATAGATAATATATGGCGATACGTAGGTTAGTAATGTTAGTATGTTGTTGACGACCATAATAATCATAACCGTTAACACACCATAGATAAGATAATGCGCACAGATAATTATACTCAACCAAGATAAAAGCACTGAACTTTATACTGATCGTGAGTAAACGATGAGGAGTATATATTTCAATTGTTAAAAGAATTAACTCGATTTAACTAAAAAATACATCAAATCAAATCTTATCGTTTAAAAAAATTCTAAACACAATTTTTCTAACAATTAACTTTTGCCATATATGCAACCTGGAGGAGCTAAATGTACATCCGCATAATGTGTTGCATAACAGCAATAACGACAAGCTACCTTAATTACAAGGTCTTTACAAAAGGTTTTATTACTACTATATCGAAGTACAAGTCGTTTTCAATAAGTTTCAGATTCCTCGTAATATTGAAAGGAGAAATTAAAGTTATGCTCGGATACGTAAAATCAAATTTTAATTTATATCAACTGTATAATTATTTAATTCTAGTATAAGTTATTAACAAAAACTTGAAAATTGTAAACACCTAAATATATAAATGAGCAATTTGTATTAGAAAAAATCATTATAATCGGTAAATCTTTAACTATTAAAGATATTTATTAAAAAACAACATGAAAAAATCCATTCATAGATATATAGATAAAGTTTATGGATAATATCTTAAGAATAAGTTATGATGTTACAAGATAATGTTACACGATTACATCCCTGGCCAGAAACCATTACTATAAAATATATATTGTTTTATTAATTAATTTCATTTGTTATAATCACTGATTAGCTTTTTGTTTTTTCCCTAATAATTCTGCTTCGTGTATGGTATCTGGTAATTTGGTGTACAATGTTTCCGGAAAAAATATACTTGTAATTGACGACGCAAAACCAAAAACTGCAAACAATGTAAGAGGCAGAGGGCTCCAAATTTGAGCCTGAAATGAAAACCGAGTATTTAAATTTTAACCTTATCTATATTCTGTATTATAAAAAAAGAAAAAACTTACTAGAAGTGGGGCTTGGGGAGCTAATACATTTCCTACACGTCCAACCATGGAGCTGGTTGTAACGAGAGAAGATCTTAAAGGAGTCGGAAATAATTCGCTAGTTACCACATAAGACACAGCAAAAGCTGCCGTAGAGCCAAATTTACCCAATAAGTAAACGGGTAATTGAAGCGAATATAAGCCTTAAAGGTAGATATTACCGATAAAATAAAGGATGCACAATATTTATGGGACAATTTTAAATTTACATATACATAAGGATAGCTAACATCATAAAAATGTATATCGATTGATTACTTACTAGACGGAATAAAAACTACGCCTAAACAAGAAATTCCTGTGATGAAGAACGAGGAGCACAGGGAAAACCTTCGCCCCAGCCTGTCTACAAGAAGGTAAACAGCTAAATAGGCAGGAATTTCGACTATTGCCGAAAGCATAAAATCCACGTAGCTATTCCCCGCTAAACTGACGGAATTTAGCGTTAGTCCGTAGAATGAAAATGCGCAAGTTATCCAACAAAAACAGCAGTTCAAGAGACGTAAAGTGAGCGTTTTCGATTTGAAAAATTCGTACAGTAACTTTTTCGATACTTTTTCGTTTTTGCTATTACTATTGTTCGCTTCACTCGCCTCGCATAGCTTTTCCAATGTTTCGTCGGAAATTGTGCGCCCGTTTACCGTTGCCGCTTTTCGAAGGATCGCTTTTGCATCGTCGTAACGCTTTTGAGAAAGCAACCATCTCACCGATTCCGGTATCAGCCAATAATAAAATACCGTCAGTAGGATTGGAGAGTACAGAATCAGAATTAAAGGTCTGCAATAAAAAAAGATAACAAACATTCCTCCTTTACCTAGATATGTAAAATAGGCACATTAATTTTAATGAATAAAATCTTACGATACTGATTTTGTGATTTCACAATTTTAATAACAAATACACACCTACTGTCTGTCGACTATTGCGATTAAATTTTTGACATACTCGAATTTAATTTTAAATTTATTTTATACATTTACTGGCATTAACAGTATTATTAATTTTGGTTTCTTACTACCTTCCCTGTTACAAGGTACTTATCAACTGTTAACACATTAATAGATAATGGCTGTTTGTTATTTATTATACCTCCATGACTGAACGGCCCAAGCTACGGAAGCCGTTAGAATTTCGCCTATAGCAAAACTGCTACAAATCAGTGTACCTGTGAACACTCTTTTCGAAGGTCCAACCAGTTCGACCGCTATCGTAATAAACAAAAATAACTTTAATAAATTTAAATCGTTTTACTTTTCTAAGTATACCTATTTCTTTTAATAAGTACCTAGAATAAAGCTTATGGGATAAGCACCAGAACCGAAAGCAGCATCCAAAAATTCAAACAGAAGAAACAACAGATAGGAATTGACGAAAGCCCTTATTATGCCGCATATCGAACAAAATACCAAGCCTGCTACGAGGACGTTTTTTCTACCAAACCTAAAACGATCGGATTTAGCAATGATTACACCATGGATAGATCGATTTTGTTGTTGTACGGTATACCGGTCAGATAACACCCCTGAAATTGATACTCCAAAGAACACTCCAAAAGTGTTTATGGTACCGACCAGAGTTAGCATCCATACTTTGTTATCGCAATACAAATCGAACTAAAATAGAAAAAATCTACGTTAGATAAATTATCCCATCATGTATGAAAAAAGAGGTTAAATTAAAATTAATAACTATCAAGCCATCAGTTTGCACCTTACAGGAATCACAGGCATCGGTAAAGGATAATTGATTTTTAGGAAATAAATATGAGATTGATTAATTGATAGAAAGTGGAAGAAACATCACATGCCCGCTCTTTTAAGTTAGTTGTGGCATTAATTAAGGGCGAGTAGGTCGTTGGGTAAACAAATAGACGAATAAAAAAGAAAGGTACAAGCAAAATTCGTACATCTTGCAGTATACTTTTTTCTTCGGTTTCGAAAACATAAGAAGAACATGTCTCTGTTAGACTGCGGTTAAAACTTAATTCGGAACAGGAGATCGAGTTTGTTACATTCGACGGTTGCACCACCACGTACTTTTCACACTTAGAGGGTGTATCACTGTCCTTGTAAGGGACGACGTTTGTTAACCAACTCGGGTTGAAATCCTGTATGGTTTCAGAATCACAATTGGGTATAAAGCATCTGGAACGAAAACCTACGCATTAGGCAGTAAAAGTTAATATTTTTTTTCTGAACCGCGTATATACACAACACCAGTAGGTATTATTTATTTTTATCTAATAAAACACGTTATAATAATACTTATTCTGAATTAAATTGTCATTATCGGTAGTATGAGATTACGTTTATTGTTTTAATTTTATTTATCGTGGCAGACTTATAAAATTTGTTATCTCCTACGTAAATATGTGATACAAAAAAATTATTTCAAAATTGAGCTAATCGCACAAGCACCTGTTACTACATAATCTACGTCTACATATGTACAATACTATACATTTGAGATAAAGAATAAGTATATTTATTAGAATTGTATTTTTACAGTAGGTTGCTGAGTGTATTTTCTTTTTAATCCCCAATCATCTACTCATTAAGTGATGGGATTAAGTCAGAAAAAAGCGGTCATTTGCAATTTAGTTGACAAAGCTGTCCTGTTATCAGATTCAAACTATCATTACAAAAACATTATCAGAAACATTTTCACAAAAAAACTGGCTTTTCTCATATTTCGCAAATAAAAGATTTAAACACTCTTGAGACGTAACAATTCAAGCAACATAACACAATTCTCTAATTTTGGGATCTCATTTAACGTATTTTGTCTTCATGCACATTCAAGTTTGTTTAGGTACACACAATTATAACGACACAATTTATCTTTGATACCCTCTGTAACTCGTCTGTGATAACAATTCGTGTTGTTTTTATTATATATAAGTCCTATTTTCTTTTACAGTTTTATAATTGACAAAATGTATAGATTGAATAATAGTTTACAATTTTGACATGACGGAGAGTCAAAAACACATAAACCAGTAACGAGTTTTATTGACAAGGTTAATTAGTCTTATTTCTTATATGATTTTCCATTAATCTGCTTGTGAACAAAGTTTCCTCCACTATCCTAGATTGTATGTAATAATTTTCTGTAATTTTTTAGATCTGGTGATGAACTGACAGACCATTATTATCAAACATAGTATTATCAAACAATTACACACAGCATTACTTATTTAGATTCGCTAAAGTTTATTGTTATTTAAATTAAATACCTTATCTAGAATATCTACTTATGTATATTGCGCATCCAACGATTAAATTATAAAGTAAATTATACCCTACACCATGACCATTATATCATTATTAACTACTTATGCAAACTTTAAAAAAAAAACTTTTTCTAAAATGTGAGTAAGTATTACCTACGTACAACAAATTATATGCTGTAAGTAATAAACGGCAAAAAAAAGAAATCACGAAACAGCGATTATTAATATTTATTTTTATGGTGACCTTCAATGCATTTTTACATACGATTACAATGAAAATGGAAACGGTTTCAAATTATTAACCCGAAATGTTTTGGTAATTCATTAGACAGTTTTTAATAAGAACTTTTAAGTAGGTACCCACAGGTACGTTAAAGTAGTCCCTTGCAACCGTTTGCTTTAAATCCGCAAATTATTTTTGAGCACGCAAATATTTAATTTTCATTTAGGTAATTTCCGAACTGAACTTGTAAACTGCATAAAATTTTATAAAAAAAGACAACCAAATGAATATATTATTAATATATACACGAAATAATGTCACAATTCTCACCTATAATTCAAATCCATTGCGGTAAATGCAAATGCAACGTTGACTCCAGAATGAAGAACAATTCCAAGACAGATGAGGGTGAACGAAAAAAACTGAAATTTTCCGAATTCTCCTACTTCAACAAGAACGGTATCGAGCGGATGATCGTTACTCGTCGTCATTATATCGATATGTGCAGTGAAAGAAACGAATTCCTTTTTTTCACTTTCTTTATCTTATAAGTATATTTATTATTATACTCGTGTACTTACGATCGGTTTTGTTAAAAAAACCATCGGTCCAACAGAATGTAATGATCGTCGCTATCGGCGCGCTCGACGCTTCATACGGCAGCGACTGCGAAGTCAACGATAAGTATCGCAGAGCCGTGCTACTAGGTACTTACTTATCAGTTTACTGACAATTGAACTAAATTTTCTTAATCGCTCTATCTTTTCAAATAATAATAATAGGTAAATAAATAATGGCCCTTGGCAAATTCGAACGAAGGTTAACTGCTAGAAAGCGTTTATTTTAATTTTCATTTTACCGTTAACGAGCGTTATACACATAGAATAAGTATACGTACAGGTACGTAGAATGGATAGACGTTTCTTTTGACCGCAGAATTGAATTCCCATTTTTTTTTTGTACCAGGTGTAAGGATACAGTAATTTAAGTAATTTTACATTATTAATAACTGCCTGCTTCAACTGAATTATATTTTGTTCTTACATCATTAATATAATTGTAATAACATCTCTCTAATCTCGCTAATAAAATATGTATTTCGCTGTTCTGTTTGTGCTTCGTTCAAAAAACGACACGACCCGACCAGTCACAAACAAAAAAAATTTCTTTTATCATATCTCACTACTTGCTTACGCGTGTGGTCTCTTATTGACAGCCCTGTATATTTCTTATCTTCACATTGTATATATTTACTAAACTCTCGAACAAGTTTCTAGGAATAGTTTTTTGTCTTTTATATTCGATTATAAATTTTCTGTTATAACAAATTATAATTATTTTCAAAATTATTTGTAAATACGTATCTATATATGTACTTACGTAGATAAAATGTAGCAAGTTTTACCGTTAATATACATATTATACAAAGCATTACCTACTAACAAATCGTTACAGTTACAGAATTTTTCTAATGTAGGTATAGTCAAAAGGAAGGCCAAATATAAGTACCTATACGCAAGCATTTTAAGTAAGGACAAATACGTAAGTATTAAGTATGCTATTAGATACTTATTTGTACGTATCTACATAAATAAGTATATTTCAAACTCACTGCGAAAATGGACCCAAAAACAAAACGTATACTTTTAACGAGACGAATTACAAATCAAGGAAAAACGTGTTCTATGTGAAATCATTGACTGCTTCGTATATTTTAGTTATTATTTTGATATATGTATATACATGTATATATGTAGGTACTAAAATTAAAGTAACATGCTAAAAGCTAAATATTATCCATAGATTTAAGTATCGCAATAATAAGTACTTAATTCACCAGAAATAGTTGAAGTGCTATCATCTTTTAGAGCAATTGTAATTCTTATACGTACAGCTGCAGTTTTCATTACAAAGTTCGTAGTAGCGGAGTTGAGGCATATAGAAATCTATATTAACAAAAACATCGTTACCATCTATCAACATACAGCTGAATTAATTTAAATGTACTATTGACTTATTGTTAATAGTTAAAACACTTTATTGTATACCTACTTATAGGGGGAACTTAAGATCTATTTTATTTTTACAAAAAATTACCTTTATTTTACGTTTTTGTAACTGTACTTATTTAGTTATAGGTAGATGTTAAACATAGTTAACAAAAGGGGCATTTCGAAAAATCCTTTTTTTTTCTGTTCCTAATTAAATAGACTAATGGAATTAAGAAATTTGGTCCATGCACAAAGGAAGTAAGGACGTCCCGTGGTAATAAATTTGATAAATATTGTAACGTAATAGATAACTCAGAAGTAAGAAGTTAATAGATATATCTATACCTATTTGTTACATTAATCACCTACACTTTACGTATTTATATTTTGATCTGAAGTAAAATTACAAAAAGCTTAATTAATAGATAGATATTATCTAATATTATCATAAAGATACAAATATTAGTACATATGAAGAAAAAATTCGAAGTTTTCAAACGTAGTGTACCGAATCGTTAATATCGATCGGTCCCGCCCAAAGATCTTATAGTTTCATCCCAGTGAATATTCCGCTATCGATTGTTTGATCCTGAACCCCTTTAAAATTTCAACGATCCGAAAATAGGTTGATACTGATTGGAAAACCTCAATCGATGATAGGTACCCAAGTATTTGAAATTTTCGTCGTAACCAGTCAGAAGAATCCAAAGTATTTGAAATTTTCAGCGCAGGTAGTTTAGTAAAATACTAAAAACAATTAAAAACAATACCAAATTGGTAAAGATTTTCGCGGTCAATTGGTGAACTAAGATATTATCCTGATTTGGGTACCTATATAGGTCGTCGTCGGTTAGAGTTGCTTCCTAACGTTTCGCTAGCACGAGTTGCGAGCTTCTTCAGAGGTCCATCTCCGATGCTAAATGTGGACAGAAGGACATTTGAAGAAGCTAACTACTCGTGCCAGCGAAACGTTCGGAGTTTTCGTCTTAATCGGGATTTAATACAATACCTACGAAAAACAATTTATTGCTTTTTTTGTTTCAAAAGCTGGGTAAAAATATCCACACTTATTGAGGATACGTGCAAATACTTAAGTACTTCAAATTTTCGTCGCAACCGGTCGAGTAGATCGAATACGAAAAACAATGTACCTTTTTTTTTGTTTTAAAAGCTGCTCACTCGACAATAAAAATTTCGAATACCTAAACATCTAAGTAGGTAATTTGATGTTTTCGTCGCAACCAATTTAGTAGAAAACGAAAAACAATTTATCTTTTTTATTTTAAAAGCTATCTACCTACTCAAAAATAAAAAATTCGGATACCTATACCTATAGGTACTACACACGGCAATTTATTACTTGTAAGCATGCAAAAATGTTTTAGTTACTGCTGCGATGGTAGATCATGAATTACTTGTTTTAAATCGTTGGCATTATGAAGAGCATGCAATAAATTTACTTCGCAGCTGAAACACATAGCACATCGGGGCAAACGTGGGCTAAGCGAACCAAGCCTCTCCCGGTTGCCCACACAAAATAGGAAAACTTATGAAAATTTTACGGCCCTCCTTATTGATGGGAACGAACCAATGGTATTTTAAAGCGAGTCGCCATATTAGTGGGCGGAGGAGGCTGCGACAGTGGCGCTACTTTGGGGGAAACCCAAGTACTACCTAATATTCCTTTCGATTCGTATGAGAATGTGTACACATTTTACTGGTGTTCTGTAAAAGTTACGCAAAATCAATGATACGGAATCGAATTTTTTTTTGAAAAGTTTCCGTGCGTGCGTGTAACATGTTTATCAATCGTTAATTGTAATAAAAGTGCAATTTTTAATTGTGAACTGAGGAACAATTGGAATATTTAATTGACAGACGCAGGAAATCGTCATCCTCGTCCTTTTCAAAAAGTTTGTTCTGTGTGTTAGTGAAAGAAGGGAGTTTGTATCGTCATTGGTGAGTACGTATATTTATTTTACTTTACTAATACGAAGTGTTTGTTTTCTTGTGCTTCAAATTATCTATTTAACATAGATAATTTTTTTGCGTATATTTTACCTTTTCCAGGTAGGTAAGTGCCATAAATATACCATTTATAGGTACCTATAAATACATTAACTCATATAGGTAAGTACCTACCTAATCCACAAAAACTAAAAACGGATGTGTTTTATGACCGATATGCCGAATAAGCGTCGTCAACTTTTTTTTAAGGACATCATGTACCTACCTACCTACCTTGTACCTATCATTAAAAGGATGGTTATTAGGTATCGTTTTAATATGTTTTATATACGTAGCCGTGTATTATCTATCTAAAATGTTATTTATTAATTCGTAAAAATAAATTTTCTAAAAATTATCTAGCTAACAAATAGTAAAAATTACTTATCGTAGGACAATAAGTATTAGTTATAATTGCCTATAATTGAAATACATATATAAATTTAATTGGAAACTAATGCACTTTTTAATAATTTTTTTCTTTATAGGAATTCTCAATTTTTTTAATCAAATTTTCGTTCGCTATCTAAAATAATATTTCCATTAAAATTCTAATCAAATCAGTAACACTAGGTTTTCAGTAAATCGGTATGATGTAGAGGATTCTCTCTCGGGTAAAATCATAATGATGGGTAGTCTTATATACCGTCCAGGACCTCTTAATCAGGTAATAACTATTTTGAGAGTACTTTTCCGCCCCCTTTGTAAATAATATAGAAGCGTTTTTCAAAATCCTTAGAGTTGCTCGGTTTTCAAACATTCATTTTCAATAATTTTAGTTTGATTTTTAAAATTGAGCTGCATATTACAAGAGAAGTGAGAAAACAAGTGTAATGTAGTATATAAATTGTGGACGGGGTTCGTTGTAGTAGTAATAATTAACTAATTTTAATACTAACAATAATAATAATAATAATAATAGTAATAAGCAATTTGTCTTCATGTGTTATGAAATCCAAATACCAATTTACCTTCTTTTAGAAGTTTTAAAATATATTATTCATGAAAATGTATATAATCAAATAACAAAGAAATGTTACGAAATATAAAAAAAGAGTTGACTGATATTTATTTACAAAAAATGTAGTGTTCTCATTTGAACTGTAACTGTGTAAAAACGTACTTGAAAATATAGTCAAGGGCCAGTTACCCATAAAGTACTGGGAAAATCTACAAATACTTGTGTAAATATTACGTATATAAAGCATACAGGTACTCGGTAGTAATTTACGATTTTAAATTAATTTGATTGATTTAAACATTTGTGTTTTTGCGTTTATAAATACTTGTTAAAAAAACGTGTCTAGCTGCGCAAATACCTACATATATAGGTAAGTCACCGTGTAGTACCTACCTACCTAATATTCTTTCGATATCTATTACCTATATCGAAACCCAATTGGTTATCTAATATAAAATCTTCACGCCAAACTCGACGGGAGTCTTGACACAAGGGGCACAGCACCCGTGCATACAATAATAATAACAATTACTTACTCTCCTACAGAAGAAAAAATGAATGATATTGCTGATTCACGTCAACGAATCGAATCAGTAGCGATTGTCAGGTGCGACAAAAGTTTCAGAATATCAAAGTGCGACGTTTCTATAATGACGAAGGTTAATTTTGAATGAAGCGACTCACGAAAATCTGACATGTGTCCGGTGAAAAAAAAAAAACAAGCATCTAACCTATAGCTTGATCTGTCTACCTATCTGCGCCCTTCGGTGATATCTTGTGTAAAGTTGAAAAACAGGCTTGGGAAATCTCTTTCTCAATCCCCACGAAATGAACTTTTGCGTAATTAAGACCTACTCGGAAATATACACTGATAATGAAATGTAATAGGTATCTAGACGCATAGTTCCACTACTATAAAACATCTGCACAATTTTTCGAAAACCTTTCCTTTATTTTCATCGTAAAAATTGAATTGAAAGCCACGTTTATGAAAAGTACTAAAAAGAGCATTCGCACATCGAACTGTATATTATATAATTTATTAAAATCAGTTTTAGGTTTATAAGATTATTTAAAAATGTTTTAAAGAGCAGAGAAAGTATTATTTGATGTAACAAAGTTTATTTGTAGATTAGAATACATAATAAAAGGTCATTATAAAGAACGGATATTCATTGTCCAAAGAAAAACATCGTGGAATCAAATTCAATATGCGCAAAATTTGATTTTTTTTATATTTTTAAACCACTTAGGTACCTACATACCTACATTCGATAAAATAGTACCTATTACGTATAAAATTATTTAACTTCATTAAATTGAAAAAACATTGCTTTATCTATAAAATCACTTAACAACAATGTAAGCAAAGTATCTTATTAATTACTTCTGTTCAATAGCGTCTATTTATATTTTCTACAAGTCTTTAAATGTCCTATGACAATATGGGGAAATTGTGTTGTCTAAATGCACCTAAGTTATTTTAATTTTTCATTTTAATAACAGTTCATGTTTTATATTCGTCGCTTCTTATTAATGCTCGCATATGTTACAAATGTTTCGCACGTGATTTCGCACATAAAATTTATTGAATAAAGGCTAATCTAAATAAAAGGTTCCCCCTTTAGAAAGGATCTTTACACCACGTAGTGTGGGCGATTTGTTTTACAAATAAAGTAGGCAAACTTATTACGATTAGCCTCAGTAAGTATTATTCGATTAAACTGCCCCTGTGATGTTTTTCACGCTGCGCTGCCAAGATTACAGACCGTGTCTGGTATCAATAATAACAATAATAATTGCCATTATTATTATTATTATGCAATCTGCATAAATTTTAATTATAGATATATTCTTTAGAATACATTTCATTTGTCGAATGCATAAATAATTACGCACACTATTAAGTAATTATAAGCAACGGTTAAATTAAGTTCGATCTATATATCATACCTATAGAAATACGGTTTCGTTATGCTACCTAAACTCTGCAACACCAAATATTCATAGTTTTTTGTACAACTTACGTATTGCAGAATTACATACACACATAAAGAAGAATCACTCTAATGCAACTTTATCCTTCCGTGTGAGCCATCTAAGATTATTGCGGAAATGAATAGACGGGTGTCCCTGAGTTGGACATTTTTTGATACCATGATTTTGTTGATTGACAATTGTAATATGTTTAATAAAAATATGAAAGTTTTTCCAATATTGAAATAATGGAGTTATGATTAATAGTGAGAAATATTGAAATTATATCAAAATAAATATAGTATCTATTCGAATTCAGCATGCTTTACTTAGTTAGAATCGACTCTTATATGTAGGTATGTTTAAAATTGAAGAAAAAGTTTGTTCAAACGATACTCCAGAATACCTCCCCTTCTCTTTTCTGCAATAATCTCAGATATAGCCCATTTTGAAAGAAAAATTAGTGTTTGTTTTATTATTATTAGGCAAACTTTTTTTTTCTTCTCCCATACCCAGCAATTTTTTAGTATTTAACAGGCAAATTAGATTACTGACTTTAGTTTCGATATTGTACAAAAAAAAAACAGTTAAGTACTTATTATTGGATAATATTTAATAAGTATTTGCATGTGTTTACAAACAAATGTTTGGATGTTGGATCGCAGTCTTTGCAGGTACTTAGGAGCGAAGAGTAGGTATAAAACGTGTGTGACATTAAGTAACACCATTTTCATTAGCGATTTGTCTTTTTGGCGTATAATAAATGACCGAAATGACTCAGACGGAACTTTTTAACGGTTATCGTCATTTACACAGAATTTCAAAATTTTTAACATTTGTCAACTTCAAAAGAAGCTATTTCGTCTGTATACCTAATGGATGAGTTATAACTTCAAAATTATTAGGTACCTACTTACATTCTATTATACCGCTAATAAAAAAGACGCACTTATTCAAAGTGGTCACTTCTTGGAAAATCGAGAATTTAAGTTTTTCACATTCAGGGAAATATCGGGAAGCATTTATGGAAATTAGGGATTCTTTTTGTTTACAGTATTGTGAACAAAGGTACAATATTAACTATGAGTAAATATATACATAATTTTTCTATGAAATCTTAATAGAGCTCTCTCCGTCTTAAAACGGATCGAAATTGAAAAAAAATTTTATACGATTCTAATATGAGCCTAATACAAGGATGCACTAGGAATTTTTGATGTTTTAGATTAAGAGATGCCTGATACATATACAACATATAAGAAGTCAAAGTGCTCCCGCTATATGCCTACATAAAATTCATTCTTCAAAGTGCCTAATATATCCTTCCCTATAAAAAGTACTTGAAATTTATAAGCACTTGATGACTTTTAGAAAAAATACGTATTGCAAAGTACCTAATATACTTACAATTTATTCCGGATCAAAATAGGTATTTCGAAATTTTTGCACGAATGAAATCAGATTTTCGATGGCTAATAATTAATAATGAGACATCTGTTTTGCGATTTGCTGTTGACTGATTATATACCTACCCAGGCAGGGAAGAATTTAAAGTCGACTTAGAATGATAGTAAAATTTAAACCATAAATACGCAAAAAATACAGAGGTAAAGAAGCGGTCATTGCATCTTCATCTAAGTTTTCGATTTCAAAAATTTACAGATTATAACCGAAAAAAGACTGTTTCTTTTAGGGTAATATCTTAAAAGACCTACATCAACGAATAGTTCTTCATGGTAATAAGTAATAACCATTATTTACTATGCAGCAGCGTCAGTAGCTAAACATAAGTTCGATGTTAAATAGGTACCCACCAACATTGTTGGTAACTAATTTGTATATAAGTATACTTATGATTAATCTTAAAAGAAGTGGTTCGTCATCGACTATGATTGCGCGGTCGGGCAATAAACATTAAACGAAAAAAAAAAAGAAGACTACACCACCATTGAAAATGTGACAGATGTGCACATACATGAGCAGAGTCGTTAATCAATTTAATCACACAATCAGTAGGC